TTTTTTTTTTTTTTTTTTTTTTTTTTTGGTACCAGGGATTGAACTCAGGTCCTTGCGCTTGCAAGGCAGGCCACCAAACCGCTGAGCTAAATCCCTAGCTAGGGTATGTCTTTGTATGTCCACAATTGTGTACTATCCATGGGATATCATCCAAGGAAATAAGTTACTGCATCTGAAAATTCATGCAGTTAAAATTTGATAGCTATTTCTAAATTTCTGTTGTGGGTACTTTAGGACCCGGTGTTTAGTTTCTTTTGTAGTTATACGTACATTTTTATTATTTGGCCTTTATCTCACTTTAGCATTCATTGCAGTGAATTTCAATGGAATGCCTTTATGCACATGAACTTAACACACAGTAGTAATCCTATGGAGGGCAAAAGTACAACTGGCAATTTATCCATGATTCTTGAAAGGAAAACCGTTTTAAGGAGTATAAAGTCATCAAAATAGTACCTTAAAAAAATAGTACCTTAAATTCTGAGGTTATCTTGGATGTTGTCCCATAAGGTATAATAGCAGAAATTGTTCTTTTTCCAGCCCAAGTGTTTAGCAGATGTTTCTATATGTTTGTTTCCCATTAGAGTAGAGCTTTCCATTGTCAGACATTTATGTAAACATAGCATTAACTAATATGCTGTGCTACTATTGTATTAGACTCCAGAATACTACTGTTTTCTTTTCTGTTTGGGGCTTTTCCTTTCTGAGTCAATAAAGGATTACAATAATGATTTAATAGACAATACAATACCTTCTAGTGAAATACTGTATTCTTTCTCTTTTTTTAACTTAAAATACATCTATTTCTCCTCATAGGCTATCATAGAATTTTCTCTTCACCATTCAGTCATATCTACTTACACAAGCAGTGCAGTAGTCAACAAAGAAGAAATTTCTTTTCCTGGAGACAAAGAGATACTTCACACAGTATAGTTTTGCCTGCTGCAGTTTCTTCAGCGCATCCAGTCCCTAAGGTATTGTATTGCCTATTATCTTCTGCTTTTTCCAGCCAAGATAAAGGTTGAATGCAGAAGTGATCAAATGTTTTTGTACCTTTGATTTCTGAGCCATTTGTCATAATTTTAAAACTTGGTTTATAATTTGAAGTTGTAAGAAGTTTTAACATGTTGCAGTTCTGGAACATTAATTTTTAAAAATAAAACTCTGAGCAAACAACTACTCAGCTTATTTAGAATTTAAATTTCTGCCATGGAATTTCCTACACTGAGTTTCTATCATGAAAATAAAACTGCATGTATATCATTTCCTAAGTTTTTTAGGGAAAAATGACTATAAAATTGGAATGATTTGAGAGAGATTACTTGAAACTAACACACTAGATGTTTTTATTAAGCCTGCCCTTACACTTTCCATGTTACTAATGCTGCTATGTTTGAGTAGTCCTCTAAAGTAAAATATAACATCTTATCTGAGCATTTTTTTTTCAAAAAGGATTGCAATTCTGTATAAAGACAAGCTCTCCGTTTTTCAAAATGTAATATAAAAGAGGTTCGTTGGGCTGGGTATTTAGCTTGGTGGAACCAAGACTGCCTCGCAAATGCAAGGTCCTGAGTTCAAAAAAGAACAGTAACTCAAAAAAGAAAAGAGGTTTGTGAGTCATTTGGGGAAAAGAATAGATAAAGGAAATATAGATTTGTCATGAAAACCATTTGCTTTCTCCCTTTTACAATTTTTGTTGTTGTTGTTGTTGTTGTTGTTTTACAGTGAATTCACATTAAGTATATTATACCTCCAGTGTCAAGGGATGACAAGACAGGATACATTTCTGCCTTGACTGAGGCCTGGCCATCATAGTGAGAGCAAGCATTTGGTATTAGTCACAAAATTGACGTTATTTTTCCTTAGAAAATAAAAAGAAATCTCTGGATAGATGAATGTATTACTTTAGACATTTCAGTCAATTGCATGACACCCCAACAACCACTCTGCCTATGGTTGTGACCTTGCCAGATCACAGAGCAGAGTGAAAACAAGAACATAGACTGTTTGAGGGAAACCTGTGAACTATGGGCATTGGTAGGGTGGATGTAGGAGAGTAGATGCTCCTCCAGCGCAAACCAGGCTATGCTCTATACCTCAGGAAAAACCAGCATGGCACTCTTATCTCAATCCTTCCAGAGTTACATGATGTTGCCATTGAATACTGTGATCTTCGTTAGTTTCCTGTCCCAAAACACTGCTTAGCCTTACTGTGTAAGAGGTTTTCCAAGCATAAGGAAAGTGTATATCTAAGAGGCTGCATGTGTGGACTTGATAGTCGGCCTTTTTATATATATTCATTGAGAGATGATATTAGGAGCCATCCTTTCCATTAATTTTATCTTTGCATTAAGAAGATGAAAGTGCCTCTTAATGAATTATTTGGCAGATTGGAAGTTTGGTGGTATTTTTCAATGATAGGCTTCCAACGGGGTTGGGAGGAGGAAGAAAAGAAATCTACTGTTTGTTTTGACCAGAAGCCTGCTTCAGCCCAGTTTGACTCAGAGAATGGTGAGGTTAACAGACCATCCAGAGGCAGCACTAACAGGCAATGTTAAGTTCAAAAGGGCAGGGGAAGGAACTGGGGGCAGCCTGGAGGGTCTGTTGTGCTGGCTTCAGAGGTCTGTGCTCCGGCAGGAAGGGCAGAGCTCCATGAAGCAGGAGGCTGTGTCCGAAAAAAATGATCCCATTGTCATGCACTGGGTTCTGATCTTCATTTTCAATCCTTTTTCCTCAAGCATATAAAGAAGCCAGACTATGTGACGACAGGCTTTGTACCCAGCTGGGGAGACAGCATAGAAGTTAAGAATGAAGATCAGATTCAAGGGCTTCATCAGGCTTGTCAGCTGGCCCGGCATGTCCTCCTCCTGGCTGGGAAGAGTTTAAAGGTGGCATCTTACCAAGTCTCAGACCGACTAACAGGAGGGCATCAAACACTCCTCTTTCTTTCTCTTTCTCCTTAACTCTTCTTATAGAATCTAATTTGTTTAAAAAAAAAAAGAAGTAAAGCCTTGGGACAGGGGAAAGGGATTTTATTATTTTATGTGTTCATTCCGGAGGTAATTTGAAAATCCAAATTCATTTTTAACTAGCAGAATTCTAGAGGCACTTTGGGCTAACTCATCCTATCCAGGTTGATCAGTGGCAGATGGCTTTGACTATTGCCCCCTTACTCCTGCCTAGAATTTCTACTTTTTTTTCCCACATTTTTTTTTTTCTGTGCCTGGAGATATTCTGTCTTGTACTTTACTTCTTTTTTTTTTTTTTTTTTTTTTTTTTTTTTTTGGCATTATCTCTATAAAGATCAGGCCATGTACACAAAACTATTGGTAATATGTAAATATAATTACGTACAACCATCTAACTATAAGAATTTGTTCTTTTATAATAGTCAGAAATTCCCTGCTACATAAAGATCATAAAATAAAATATATATCTGTATTCTCCAAGAGGTACGGAAAATTTAGGAAGTCATACTCAAAGATGAAATAGCTTACTGCATCACCTGTGTAATAAACTTTTTATAGTAACATAACAAAGCATAACTGTAATGAAAAATAACATGGGAAATTATAGAATAGTTAATTTTTAATCAAAAGTTTTATTTTTATTTTATATCAGAAATAATCTTCACATTCTTATAAAACTCAATCTCAGGGGCTTGTGATGTAGTTCAGTGGCATGGGTGCATGGGTAAGGCCCTGGGTTCAAGTCCCAGCACAACAAATACATGCACATACAATTTCAACCTCAGTTTTCACTGTTTAGATACCTTCTGGTAAGGAGAAAAAAATTTAAACATGTATTTATTTAAGTGTGAAAAATCAAGTCTCTATAAAATATATCAGACTAAATTTTCTAACTGGTGAGCCGTAATCTCCCTGCCATTGATACAAAACTCATGAAATGTTTCACTAAAATGAAAAGGTATGGATTAGCCTACTCTTCCAGCCTTGTTGTCTAAACCTAAGATCCTTTTGAGCACTTATTAATAGTTTTTCATTAGAGCCAGGGCACTAACCATTGAGGAAAGTGAAGGAACTACTGAAGGCCACAATGTTGAAATCTTCAGGCCAAACAGGAGTCATTTCATTTAATGACTCACAAATGATTTAGAGGATCCTAGAGTTGAAATTTTCTGTTTCCTAGTAGTCTATAATACCATCAAATACCAAAAAAATCAAAAAAGCCCAATTGAGCATGATAACATTAGTCATAAATAATTAAAATGTTGTACCATATGTTTATCATAGTAAATTTATACTGTCTCACATGGAAGTGCTGTTGTTATAGGTATAGTCAGTAAATACAGGAAATGTCTTCAACTGTTGCCATTTTCTTTATTTAATATTTTAGGTTGACATGACAACTGAAGAGATAGATACTCTTGTTCATCAGGAAATCATCAGTCATGATGCCTATCCCTCACCTCTAGGCTATGGAGGCTTTCCAAAATCTGTTTGTACCTCTGTAAACAACGTGCTCTGTCATGGTATTCCTGACAGGTATTCATTCTTTAATAACATATTGTTCCTTTGGAAACTAAAACATGAGACTGATTTATAACATACTGAAAGACACTAGTTCGTTGAAATCCACTGACAACTTCTGACATTGATAATGATAAAATAAAAGTTTTGAAGTATTTCACTACTAAATGGATATAATGTCACCATTTAATATTAAAGCAGTATGTGATCTACAAAAGTAGTTATGCCTTAACTATTTCTTTTACCTTCTTCAGTTTTTACCAATACAATGTAGGCAATTTTTGCCACCAGCTATTGTTTCCATTCTTTACAAAATTAAATAAGTGATAAGTATGTCATTTTAAAGAATAGTGGATTATTAAACATTGGCAATAGGTTCATTTTATGCATTTTTTAAATAAAATTTGATATGACTAACATAAAACAGCAGTCGGATATAGTTATTGCATTTATTCCTCCTTCACTACAAATTATCACTGTGACTCATTGATTTTGTGATAGTAGTCATTAGATATTTATTTTTATATTCCTTTTATTGAGATCTGTCTATCACCATTTTTTTCCTGTTTATGTTTCAGTCGACCTCTGCAGGATGGAGATATTATCAACATTGATGTCACGGTGAGTAAATCATGTAAAAAATAGTCTTTGATCAACTTCAGAATTGCTGGTAGCAACAGGAAAAAGAGTGGATTGAAAATGTGAACTGCACTGGTAGAAGTGCTGTTTACTTCTAGCCCCACACACAAGCAGCTGGTTTCCTTTTTTTTGTTTTTAACTCTGTGTTTATTCCAAGTAAACCCAGGCCTGACTTGAATTTAGGGCTGGAATCAGATGCACTGAGATCAATGTTGGCCTAAGTGAAATGTCAACCCAATCCTGCTATGTGTCATGTTTTTGAGAAGGTGTAATTGTTATTGATCCACTGTGTAGTTAATGCAGAGCACCATAGCACTGGGCAGCTGCCGAAGCTAGATATGTATGAGATGAGCTAACACGAAGAAAGCCAGCATTTTTCCTTCACTCTGCCAAGATTGATCTTCCTCTTCCTGCTGATTTTGAGTGGGGCCTGTCATTATCTTACTCTGTCATTAGGGGCTACATTGGCCTGTGTGTCAGTCTATTTGGACAGCTAGCCGTGTTCCCTAGATTTATTAAAATCCCTGAAGGTAACGTAATGTTCCATTTCTGGTATAGAGTCTCCAGCTCAAACCTTATAAGCAGAGTGGTTTTCTCTCTGAACTTAAGTTTTCACTAAACAGTTAACGCTCTCTTTTAGATAACAAACTTGAGTGATTTAACAGAGGGCCTTCAAATTGTAGAACCTCTAACCTTTTCCAAATTTCTTAGCCTTTTGTCATTCTCAGGCTTGGAATATTTATGCTCATTTTATTTTAATAAATACATTTAAAGTAAAATTTAAACATCCAATGAGAATTAGTGGAGATGGACAACATTCAAGAAATATAGTTGCTATTAATAAGAAAATTTGTTTTGTTTTGTTTTTTGAGACAAGGTCTCTCTGTGTAGTTCAGCCTGGCTTTAAACTCACTTATGTAGCCCAGACTGGGCTAGCACTCATGGTGATCCCTGCCTCTGCCTCCCAAGTGCTGGGATTATAGGTGTGTACTACCATACCTAGTTAATGAGGAAATAATTTTACTAATAGCTATTTTATATTCAGACTGTGAAACTTAGCTAAGAGTGTGAATGATATGAAAATCTAATGAGATGTTATCCAACTGTTGAATTCAGTTGGATTTTTACTTGTTTAAATTTCTTCATACCACTTTATATATAGACAGAGCCAACAATCCTTTTATTGCTGTTACTTTCTATATCCTACTCAGAATACTTTTTTATCTTATTAGAATATTTGAACATTTGCTCCATGTATTCTGTTGGTATCTTTCCAAGTCAAAATCACGCTGGAGGAATTTTATGAAGTATACCTAAAATAAAGTCTTTGTATGATACAGGTTTATTTTGGATTAAACTTGATTTAGAGTTTTACATTTATTTTTTCACCTAAGCATATTCTAACAAAATATTGCTGTCTGAATGAAATCAACATATTCTTCTCCATTTCCAATGTGTTCAAATGGAATACTGTATTCCCTGTTGAAGTTTCCTAAAGACTTTTAATAAATAATTTCAGTTTTTAAATTTACACTCTCTTGGCCTGGGATTTAACTAAGTGGCACTGCAACTGCCTCACAAGTGCGAGGTCCTGAGTTCCATTCCTGGTACTGAGGGAAAAAACTTACACTATCTTAATAATTATATAACTCATAGAGTATAGTAATATACTTTCAAATATCTAGAAATATGAAAGTCTAAGAAATATAGGTCAGTATCTTAAATTATATTTCCTTTTTTGGGGTGTTACCAGAAATCAAACTCAGGACCTTGCGCTTGCTAGGCAGGCACAGGGCCACTGACCTACCTTGCGCTTGCTAGGCAGGCATAGGGCCACTGACCTAAATCCCCAACCCTTTAAATTATATTTCTTATGAAATATTTTATTAAGTGAAGAACTCCTTTACCATGTTTTATGCTTTTATCAAAAAATACTTACTGCATTTTATAGTTGTTTGTGTGTACTATGTATAAGAAGATAGATTTTTTATTCTCTTAAAGGTTGAATTTTTTTAAAAAGACAATGTGATGCTCTTAGTAGTTGCTCAGTAAATATTTGTTAAGTAAATGAAGTACAAAACAAAAATAGTTTGTGGATAAACACAGTAGTTATAAATGACTTCCACAGACTTATGAAAGTATTGAATTTCCATATATATTGAATCTTTCAAGTACTCTTTTTGAAAGTTGGCAAAAAGTAATATGACTGGTGGCACATCCTGGTAATCCCAGCTACACAGGAGACTCCAGCAGGAGGATTTTGAGTTCAAGCCCAGCCGGGGCAATTTCACAACTTGGCAAGACCTAGTCTTGAAAGTAAAAAAGGGCAAGGGATGTGGCTCATTGTAAAGGCCCTGAGTTCAACCCTCAGTACTGCAAACAAACAAACAAGTAATTCAGAAAAGCAAATAAAAAATTTAAAAGTAGTACATTATAGTTACAAAATTTCTTGAATGGTTATATTAGCAAATTTTATATTATTTTATATAAAATCAAAATTTGTACTTTCCTAGATTGCAAAAGGCTGTAAGTGTGAATAAATGTATAAAACACTACTCTGTTGCAAGGTAATTAAGATAATTTATGCAATAGTGACAACTCTTGATTTTAAGCCAACGATCCATGATATTAATCTGGGTTTACCTCTATATTGTATCACTAACCCCAGACATATTACCTGCCTGTGCCTCAATTTCTTGCCTTACAAAGTGAAGATTTTTATGAAGTCCTTTCCTACTTCCTTCATGGAGTATAGGGAAGTATTTGTTAAGGTGCAGAATAGTAGTATTATTATTAAAAGACAAAGTGAAAGTAAATGTCTTTTTAGGGGGTAAGTTTCTTCATTCTACTTTATGAGAAAGGAAACTGAAAAATAATTAGGGAAAATTTATGCAAAATAGTAAATGCAATGCTACATTCAAAGATCAATATTCAGCTAGTCTCCTCTGGCTTCTATATTTACTACAGTGTTTGGTAATCATTGATTTTTTTTTTTAATGATGAAACTGGTGTCTTTCAAGATCCTAAAGGATTTCTGAATCATTGAAGACTGAATTATATTTTCTGTAATTTTACTCATAATTTTTGTTTTGTTATATTCTAATTCTTTAAAAATCCTCTTAGAGTGTTTTCTGTTAACATTCTTCTATCTGGAACATTTAGTTATGATTTCATTTCCTCATATAAGATTTTTTAATAGCTTATTTCATTCCTACTTTGGTAACTTTAATTCTTAGAACTACATTCTCCTATCATTTGTTACAAAACCAACATGTCTTTCTTATTTATTCTTGTCATTATTTATCACTTCCAAGTATAGAACTGGAAATAAAAGGTAAGTCTTCATGAGATTGAAGAAACTCTTTACTATGTTAAATATTTCTTAATTTTCTAAATTTATTTGTGGCAATTGTGCAGGTCAATATATTTGCTCACTGTTTTTGTGTATATAGTTTCTCCTGAAATAAAATAAGGAAACAAAAGTTACAGTAGCATTGCTAATCATAATGTTGAACTAGCCATTCTATCCATTTATTTTTCAGATTTTTGTTATTATATGGCTTCATCTTTTTAATTTCTGTAAGGTTTTAGTGTATCTTTTTTTCATGTGAGGCCAATGAATAATTCTGAAAGGATAATATACATTCATTTACTAAACATAGAGGTGAACACTGTACTTTTGGAGAGCAGATTTTTTTAAAACAAGGATATATTTTAAAACTTCTGCCTGTGTTTAGGTCTATTACAATGGCTACCATGGTGACACCTCTGAAACATTTTTGGTGGGCAATGTGGATGAATGTGGTAAAAAGTTAGTGGAAGTTGCCAGGAGGTGTAGAGATGAAGCAATTGCAGCTTGCAGAGCAGGGGCCCCTTTCTCTGTAATTGGAAACACAATCAGGTAAGCTTTACACTGACAAGTAAAGGGAGGGTTGGCAAGTGGTACAAAGGTTATTGGTAGCTTGGTATAAAGTTGATGACATGTTTTGTGATTCAGAACCATCATTTCAGTCCGATATCTGTATGTGAACTGCCAGGCTGCGATGGTGTTCCCTAGGTTGAAAAAAACCCAAGGTTTTAAAAAAGTAAAATAAACCAAGGTCAGCAAAGAATCTTACTGGAGTAGCAAACAATATTTGTATGGCTGCTTTGTTCTAGCTTGACATATTGGTTTGTATGTAAGGTAGTTTCCTTACTCAAACAGCACACCAAATGTGGAAGAAAGCGCCTAAGAAGGGGCTGAGTATCCTAACCCTTGAATAATGAGAAAGGAGAAAAGCTAAAATGTAAAAAGGAATGAAATGAAACATATTCCTATGATAGAAAGATGAAAAGTTTTAACTGAGGAAAGCCTTACCTTTCAAGTTAGTAAATTAGCAAATACCCTGAAAGAGTGCTCTTCTGTCCTTTTTTTGTCTGATTCATTTTTTCTGTCAGCCACTGTATATCTTCTACACAGTATTCCATGCTTGCTTTTTGAGTGTATGTGTGTTTTCAGAATTCATGAGGGGTTTTTTTTGTAGTCTGCTACCTATTTCAGCCTCCCCCCACTGTTTTGAAGTAGACATGCAGAATATGTGTTTTCATTTAAAAATAACGCATTTTGTTAAAGATGATCACATCAGTACCCCATAAAGTACTGTTCTCATTAATATAAACCATTGAATACTTCCCATTTGTCTAAAGGATGGAAAGCTTAGTCACCTTGAAAAGATGCTGCCTTTTTTCTTCAAACACCTTCAAATACTTTAAAGAAAAAGGCAGTAAAATATCAGTTAAATGTATTTATGGCTTTAAAAATATTGTAACAGTGTCTGAATCAAACTTTAGTAAAATCTCTTTGGGTTATATCTGAGAAGCTTTTATTGAAGACTTTGAACAAAATTGTGTTTTTGACAGTTTTAAATTGTAGGCTAACTAGCCTGGGAAAAAAGGATAGTTTCTCTCTGTTCTTTCATAGGAAATGTTGAATCAGACCCCTACTGGGAAAAGAAATTTAATGCATATCTCACTATCTTACTGTCCATGAATATAATAGAAATGAATTCAAAATGCAGTTTTATTTTTGCAAATGGGATGAGTCGATAGATGCACCTCATATTTTTGAACACCTAGGGTTCAACAAATTTACTGGTGGTGCTCTTGCATTTTAACAAAATTTATTCTTCAGTAGAAGGGGGCAGAGAACACTAGATTCTTATTCAAGCATTCTATCGAGCTCTGCATTCATGGCTGTGTCTAAAGGGCATGTCAGCCTTTGATTCTCTCTGAGAGGTAATTATCCTTTTCCTGTCACGGAACAACAAATGATAGCTAACTACAGAGGCACATTTGCAGTAGTCACATTCATCAACTGCAGAAAAAAAATTCAATTTAATTGTGCAACACAGCTGCACATGGGCTTTTGAGCATTTCTGTTGTTCTCCCTGTCTCGCTATTCCTCCCTCCAGATCTATTTTTTAAACTTTTTTTCTGGTTATTTTTTCCCCTTTTTGTCTCTTCTTCCATTTTTACTCTCTGTACTTTCTTGTTAAAGTAATTTTCCTTTGTGGCTCTCATTCTTTTTTCCCCATTGAAGGCTATGAATGTAGAAAATTATCACAATTACTCATATAATTGAGCCTCTTTGTAGCAAGTGCAACTCCAGTAGCCTTTCTCCATCATGAAAATGGTTTCATTATAGGGTTTTTCATATTCTCTGACACCATCTACACAGAGGAACAGGCGTGCAGATGAGATGTACTAGGAACAGGCTAGATCAGTAAGGTCACAGTAGGAATAATTAGCTCTGCTATGGAAAGAGCATCTAGGCCTTTTACTGCTACATAAATGTACTGTCCGTGGCTTTTAGTCACAAAAAAAACTTACTAACAAATGGAGCTCCCGCCTACTACTTTGAAAAAAAGATTTGTATCAACACTACAATTTTCCATCATTAAGACTAATAACACAGAGCCTAGTATACATCAAGGGGAATAAAAAGAAAAATCTCACATTCAAGTGGTGGCTGGGTGCTGACCTTTGTTCCCTTTTTTTGTGTACGACTTAACTCTTTACAAAAAAGAGCCACACGCCACACCAACATGCAGGTGAACTCCAGCTAGTACTAGCAAAGCATAGCATTCAGTCGGAAAATCTGATAAATCTCCATGCAGGATAATGCATTTCATTACATATTCACTACATTAATTCTAGCTACATTAAAAAAAAGATGACGATGATGATGATGATGATGAGTAGAATTGAAAATGACATTGGATCTGGATGTAAAGGTCAGTTTTTGCAGAGTATGAATTTGCATGTGCAAATTTGAAAACCAGATCAGTCCCAACAACTGCACATACAAAAACTATGTGGAAAATAACAATGAACTTTTTTTTTTTTACCCTAATGCATTTCATTATTTAGATGATTTATGTCTGCCACTGGTGAAGAGACTGGCCCTGATTCTAACAAATGTTTGCGCTGATCTATTAAAGCGGTGTTTCTGGCCCTCCATTATTTTGCCTTTTCTTATTCAGGCAAAATCTTAAAGGGAGTAAATAAACAAATGATATCACCTTTGAGCCAAAAGTACTTAAAATCGTTATAGCCCAAAGGTTTCCCATAGCAGGTTTTCATAGCAGTATCATGTATTTTTAAGGTATTAACCATGTTTATATAGTCTCCCTCTACTGCTACATTCTGAAAAGAACATTCAAGCATCTTGTGTTAATGCTACCTCAAAACTGAGAGCTCTACAAGAAATTTTGAAATTCTCTTCCAAAACCTAAAGAATAGGATGAAGTTTCTGAAGAAATATCAACTAAAGTGATTTCATGAAAAAAGTTCTCTCTGTGCCCTTTCACTTTGCGAGGGATGCCTATTGATCTTTAGGCCGTAATGTCTTATACTCACTGTACCTCCATTTGCTTTCAAATGTTTCTAAATCTGTATTTTTATAATTATGTCTCTAGTATCTGTATGAGAGTATCATGAATGTGTAGATTCATGCATCACAAATATATGATAGTTCAATAAAAAAATAACCTAATATCATGATGAAAGTATCAATAAATGGTTTTTAATGTTTAAATCATAAGTATATGTTTTGATATTAATTTAGAACACTATAAAGTAGATTTTTTAAAAAATAATCTCTTTCTGTTAGATTATGCACATTTAAACAATAAGTGGCTCAGGCAAAATAAGTCATTTTAATGTCATCTGTGATGGATTTTTCTTGACAGCTACTGTAAATTACAATTACACTGCTTCTCTCTGCACATGAAAGTAAGCATTGCCATAAATTATCTTTTATTTCAATCCATCATGTCTGCTTTTCAGAAACAGAAAACCTCAAAGAAAAGTTCAGCACTATTGTAAGAAAATACAGTAATTTGTGATCCAGTTTGAAACAAAAAAAATGTACCACTGTTCTGGAAAACAGTTGTTGGCTTTCAAAAATATTACTAATTGTATTTAAACATTCCTATCATTAGAGGGAATCCCTGGACTTGTGCATTCCTTCATTCAAACACTACTGCTTAAATTAAAAATCCAGAAAGATTAAGCTAAATTCAGAACATATCAAATCACGTGCCATGCAAGATCTTTTATTAGAGAGATGTGACCCTTTGGAGGTTAATGTTGCTTTATAGGATGCATATAAAAATGGTAATAAAACTATTTCTATATGCTTTTTGATTTCTCCAAAAGAGGATGTTCTTAAACTATAGAACTCCTCTGCCCTCTGGGGGAATGTATTTTTAAGCATAAAACTAGTTGAAATGTATTAAGAAATTTCATTTATCTAGACAACACTTTAGTTGAGTTCAACTGCCTCATGAAAGGGAAAAAACTGAAAAAAAAATGGTCACAAGATGAAATTCCTAAAAGAAAATTTTCTTTCACCTATAAACTGTGACTGCAATATGAAGTGTTATGATACAATAGAATTGAAAAGTAAGCTCATAAACTACTTTTTTATACCTTCTTCCTCTTCTCTCTCTCCCAATAATCCATACGAAAGGCTTCAGACGATAAATGTGCTGGGCTCATCAGTAGGTGTCATACTATCTTAAAGGATTTTTAGTTAAAGGAGATCAGAGCAGAAAAGCTAATATCAGGAGAATTCTGTTCAGTAGATTTCAGCAAGAAGGAAGATTTCATCGGTGAAATGTCCAAGGCAAGAAAAACCTGGTGCTCAGAAATGGGTCCTAGTCCTGTGTTAGCCGGTAGTGAGGAGCAACTGCAGCACCTCTTGGACACATTGCCTGCCTCACTATTTCCATTTCCTCCAGCATCCCAGGCAAGAGGTAGATGCACATTCCACCTTCCCATGCCAAAATTAGGGTGACCAGCACTTGTTTTGGTGTTAGAGGAGTGAAATTTGCTACTACCAGTCACTTAGATTGTGAAAGCAGATTAAAACCCTGCAATCAGGTGAATAATTCTGTGTTCACGGAGTGTATCCCAAAATAGTAGAGTAGAAGGCACATGCCTTTAAACAGCAATTAGGAACCTTAATGAGATTTTATCCCATTTAGCTCCAGTAAGTGTATATTAAAAAATAACTACTGATCCAAAGGAAAATACCCTGAAAAGCAGAAGAAATGTATTCTTAGTTCCTGGGAAACAGGCATTGAGATGGGTGCTCCACCAAGGAACGGAGGGAAACTTGTCCAGTTCTTTTCCTCTTTTCCTTCAGCTGTAAAAATCCTCTAACCTTTGCATCCGTGACACATAGATCCTGTGATACTGCTATAGCCAGAAGTTCCAGCAGGACCCAGGGAGCAAATTGTTGTAGGAGAATGCACTCAGATGTCTTTAGCCACCTAGTAATTGCACAGCTTCTTTTATGAAGAGGAATGAGAGGTATGATGGGGGAGGGGCCCTAAGGGTTTTTTCAGAGTGGGCTTTCTTCCTCTCTCATCGGAAATTAAAATGGAGATTGCCATTGTAACACACATTTAAGATGTAGCTGTGATTCCTGCCAATCAGTTGGATCCTTGGGAAAAAATTTAAAAAGAAAACTAGTTTTTTTCATTTTAAGAAAAGAAAATAAGAATAGTTTATATTGAATCCTTTTAAAATCACTGAGGTTTGTTATGACTGGACTAACATAATTTACAGGTGTAGGTAGAACCCATTCTTTTTCAAAAAAGTAGATTATAATCTCTTATTTAATCATCTCTCTTCTACCCTCTGTTCACTCTCCACCCCATTTCTATTCAGAAATTATGTGGAACAAATAGAAATACCTTGAAAAAGATGTTATACCTCCTGCCTAGAGTGCAAAGACCCACAGAAATAGCCCTAACCAAAATTATAATTTGAGATAAAAAATGTAGACTTATTTTTGTCCTCAGTATATGCATGGCTTACCTATTTTTGTACTATCCATTACATCAAAATTAAATTTCAGTAGAAGATGCCATCAGCTTGTTATAGTGACATCCTGTTCTAAGTGAAGATATCCTGGAAATCTAGGAGGGTAATTAAAAATATCCAAAAATTGTACATAGACACAAATGTCCACAAGGATGCTGACTAACCGGCATCATGTTAAATTAAATCTATAGTCTGGTGGAAATTGTATAGTTTGAAAGCTGAAAATTTTGGATTTGTTAAGGAATTGTAATAATCCTGTGAATTCCAATCCATTTTTATGGGCAGTATTAAGGATATCGTATCGTACCCTTTGTCACATGAAAATATAAATCTAGCCAAGCATGGCAGCACATCCCTATAATCCCAGCACTCTGGAAGACTGATGTAAGAAGATCACACATTTGAGCTCAACCTGAGCAACTTGGCAAGGCTATCTCAAAATTGAAAAGAAACTTATTTATTTATTTATTCTTTCATTCATTCATTTATTCATTTTTAATTTTTTGGTACCAGGGATCGAACTCAGGTCCTTGTGCTTGAAAGGCAGGTGGCAGAACTACTCAGCTAAATACCCGGCCCAAGAAAAGAAATTTAAAAGGGGAGGGGATATAGCTCAGTGCAAAAGTCCTGAGTTCAATTCCCAATACTCCTGTGCGCTGTGACACAGATTCTGTTCAGCCTTGTGGGTGAAAATTTTAGGATTGATTCTTTATGGTAGATTTCATTTATAGGGGATAGATGGAACCTAAAATATTTACATGTAAAAGTAACTAATGAAGTGTTAAGAATTAGAAATCACAGTGCTACTTCTCAAGCATAATAGTCATTAAAAGAATATTCTGTATGAACTTTGTTAATTGGCAGGTCTTGAGTAAAACTCCAAAATGCTCAAAGTTTGGAGTATTTCAAGAAATTGACAAAGAAGACTTGATCTTTGTGAGTGTCTGTAAAATGTATAACATTTTGAAATAGACCAGAATAAAGGATGCCATAATAAAAAGTCATATTTCTAGGTTGTAATTCTCTTCTGTTTAGCTTCCAAATCAGTAGGAATTTATACAGTAAATTTATCCATACAACCACAAAAGCCAGGTAGGTTTTTATGACCTCTATATGCATATCTTAGTTATGTACATTAACTTATATTTGTGTGTATGCATATTCATCTCTTTCCTAAATGATCTTGTTTGAAAGCTATGATAAGGTAAGTGACTCAAACTATTATGTTATAAACATACCTTCTTTTTCATATATCTAAAGGGAAGTTGTTACTAACATCAGCAAAAATTTAAATTATTCCAGGATAAAGAAAACAGTAATATTATCATCTGACTCTAAATAGAACTGATATTTTTTCAGAGAATATTTTACAGTGACTTTCTTTTTATCTAATATGCATTAAAATTTTATCTAATTTAGTTAAATATCTTTTGGTCACTTTTAAAGCCATATAACTCATCAGAATGGTTTCCAAGTCTGTCCACATTTCGTGGGACATGGAATAGGATCTTATTTTCACGGACATCCAGAAATTTGGCATCATGGTAAGAAAGTTAATTTGGAAGCTGTTTGTTGAATACTATCAGGGTAGAGCAGTTTTGCTCCTCCCTCTTGCCTTGAATCCACATTTTCTCCGTGTGTTTGTGTGTGTGTGTGTGTGTGTGTGTGTGTGTGCGTGCGTGTGTGTGTGATATCTACTTAATTTTAATCAGCACATTACTATGTTACTAAATTAGAGCTTTACAGTTTCAATCCCCAAATAAAGACTTTTTTGCTGTTTTTCTCCTAGAGGGTCCATGGCTGGAGGGGATAAGGGATATTTGTTGATAAGGGATATTAGAAAAAGTTACTCAAAACAAAATGCCACTGCATCAGTGTCCCAGCATCATGCACATATGACTGTTTTCTGTTTTTCTTTTTCTACCCCCTCTTCTAACTGCTGACTGTTGTGGTTAAACTTCATTACATCCTACATAGCGTTGACAGCTGATGTATTTAGCACATGTACTCTTTAGGGATGTCTCGATTATGCCTACCCTTGTGTTCCTTCCCCGGAGTTTCCTGTTTTTCCACTGCCTGGGTGTGCATTCTGCAGTGAGAAGGCAGGAGTGGACCCAAGGGGTAGGAGGCTTTGAGTGAAAGTAGGAAGCAGCTGCATGGAAGAGCCCCAGGGCAGTCCACATTTGGACTGGGACCAAAGGAAAGTTGGTTCTGGGGCCTCAACCTATACATCTGAGAGTAAGAATGCTCCCTAGAGGAACAACTGCCTGCAGCCTCTGGCTAGTGGATCCTTAGGGACCCAGGTGGATAGAACGCCTTCAGACTGAAGAGCTGCGCTTCAGGCAGCTCAGAAGAGAAGTCCCAGGTGAGAATGCAGAAAGGGCTGGTCACCAGAGCTGTGTCCTACCCAGTGCCCATCCCTGGAGTTGAGCGTGGAGACCCCATCTCCTGCCCCATCTTACGTGTCTGTATGCGGCCTTCTCTTTCCACCCTTCCCTGAGATTTCTTTCTCTTTGACGTAGGGATGAAGGAAAAGCCCAGACCCAGTAGGATCAGGAGACCTATCAGCAGGTGTCCAGGAGACATAGGAAGGGTAAAAAGGAGTCTGACAAGTGTCTAAAACACCTAGGCTGCCCCTACCATGCCTTGAAAAATTGTGGGGAATGGGGCCTTGACCCAGAACACAGACACTCCAAGTGCTGAAGCCCAGAAGTCCTATGTTTGACCCAAGGGATCATCCAGGAATCTAGAAACCTCCACCTTCCCTGCTTCCTGAAAGAAAATGACCAAGTTTTTCAAGTGTCCCCAACTCTCTTTAATCTGTTTCTCTCTGTTCTTGTTTCCTATTCTTAGCCCACCTCCTGGTTTTTTGTTTTGCAGCAAATGACAGTGATCTGCTCATGGAAGAGGGCATGACATTCACCATAGGTAATGCTGGGGCTCCTCTTGGAGAGCTGTGGCTCATGGGTGGAAACTGTGGCGCTGGCCTAGGCCAGCAGTCCCTTGAAGGACTAATAAAGCCAATCAGCATAATGAAATAATTCGGATGCATAGTGAATCTGATTAAATAATATCCTTGAGCCCCATCTTCCTAAATCAGATACTTACCAACACATTTAGGGACGGCAGCCATCCAACCTCTAATTCTGTCACCAGCCTAATGTGGTGTTTGGTTTTTTGTTTTGTTTTGTTTTTTCATTAACACCCAGTAACTAGAGGTGATTATGTCCCTTGCTCCCTGTCAGCAAGTAGCATGTGCTCTGTGGTGGCCCATTCCTGTCTGATCCTGCCATTGGTGTCACCACCAAATTCCAGTCACCTAGGTCCATGAAGGCTTCCTATTTCTGACTGTGGGATTTAATAGAGAAGCAATTAGAGCGAAATAAGAAAATTGTTATTTGCTGATTAATGAACATTTTAAGCATGTTTTAAAAATTCAAATATTTTTAAAAAACTGACTGGTATTTATAAGAAGGACTGGTGTTTGGATGGTTATTATCCACGGGGTCCTAATTAAGGCTTGATTAAAATGCCCTTCTGTCTCTAAAAAATTATGAACGAGGCAACTTAATACACTTTTTAATGCCTTAGCGCTTCCTCTCCCCACTGTTTAGTTTGTAGTATACTTTGTAAGCAGCATCAATTAGCCCTTGCAAGATGACAACAGGAACCCGTGGGTGAAGGACTTGGGGGTGTCTCCCCCACCCCCACCCCTGTCTTTCCCTCTTTTCTCCAGCTGAAACAATGACAATAATCTGATGAGGTCACTGCAGTAAATATTTTCCCTTTTACAGAGCCAATCATCACTGAAGGATCTCCTGAATTTAAAGTCCTGGAGGATGCATGGACTGTCGTCTCCCTAGACAACCAAAGGTGTTTGCTTTAGGCCCTGTTCCGTTTTAGGCGTTAGGAAGGGGAGATTGGCGGGAGAGCGGAACCTGGAGCTGCTGCTTGGGCCACCTGGGGCGCTTGCAGTGCCCTGACCACCGCCACCACCGCGTGTGTTTTCAGGTCTGCCCAGTTTGAGCACACAGTTCTCATCACATCAGGGGACGCGAAGATCCTGACCAAGCTGCCCCACGAAGCCTGAGAAATAGCCCCAAGGTCACGGAGACCCGGCGCCATTTTTCTCAATTGCTGGAGAACTTTTAGATGAAAGGGGAAGGGCAGGTCTCCAAGGAACCTACCTGCCTCCCAGCACAGGAAACACAGGAAGGGGGACGGATGCCGTCGTTTGGGAGAAGAGGGACTCCTGAAGAAGAACGGTTCCCCTGACTCTTGACCTGAGTAAAAACCCTATAAACCTACTGTGTCTGCGTACCTTGCATCTAGAAGTTACAAGGGAGCAAGCAGAAGGTTTTTTGTTTTTGTTTTGTTTTGTTGAGTCTGAACTTTTTTACAGAACACACAAGGAAAGAAAAACCTAGATCTGTTAGCTGGAATATTTTAAAAATCTGTTTTGTGCATTGCTGGTCCCACATTGTCCAGTCCAGGGGCGCACCCAGATGCCAGCACCTGCTTCCATCCCAGCCCTTCCTCTAATTTCTCCACCATTGTGGCTTTGCCTTGAGTTTAACCCACAAATGGAAGCATTGATTACGTATATTTTCTTGGCTGTGCACCCTGGTCCTGGCCTTCCTATGGGGTTTTATCAATCCAGAAACAAGACTCCCAGGCTCTGGCGCTTTCTCACCCAAAACCACGTTCCTTGGCCCTCTTAGAGATTGGGCTTGAGACCTTCCCACCCCTCTCCTCCTGCCCCCCGCTCCCAATGGCACAGTGGACCATTTGTTACACTAGGAATTCAAGCTGCGGCCCCACTCACCCAGATGTGAACAGCATCTGGCAAGCTGGCCCACCTGTATCTAATCCTAAACCGACCTGGAATGCTGGCCCTCTGGGGACTCCTGCCCTGGGGCTCCTGGGACTTCAAAGGTCTGGTAGTGAGAGTTACAGAATCCTAGAGGTGCATTTGAGATGACAGCCCCGCTGGTGGACGGGGACTGGAGCTGACAGCTTTCACCCTTGTTCTTACAGCTGGCGGTGCTCCTACCCACTTCTGAAGCAGGAATCTAGTTGGGCCACACTATTTCCTAGGCCCATTTTGGCGCAGAAGAGCCCTCCCCTCCCTCGAGGTTGCTCTCCAGGACCTGCTCACCATGGGTAAAAGGTGGGAACAGGCTGGGCCTCTGTTCCATGAAGGAAGTCAATCCCCTCGGCATGGTTTTAGGAACAAGTTCAGTGAGGATGCACTGAGACCAGGGGTTTCAATCACTTTTGTTTCTATTAAAGTGGGCTTTGCAAAGTTGCCCCTGGCTAAATACAGTTTGGGATTAACAGTACTAAGGGAGTGTGGGTCCTTGTATTTGCCATGAAAGACAGTGTCAGCTGGACCCAAGAGTTGACCATCTTTGTGACGTTTGAGTAGTGAGGAAGGAGACAGAAACTGAGGACAATGAGAGGGCTTGGAAGTGGGTCCCAGTGTTTCCCTGAACTCTTGATTCTCTGCATCTGGGGATGTAGAGATCGGGATAGAGTGAGTCTGGTTCTAGTGGGTCCAGAGATCTGGAAAAGATGAAGTGGCTTCAGTAACTCCTTAGGTTTACAAGATCCATAGATAAAACTTTTTTTTTTTCTCAGTACTGGGGATCAAACTCGGGACCCTACATTTGCCTGGCAGGCATGGCACAGGTGAGCTACCTCCCAGGCCCCATAGATAAACTTATGTGGTGCCCCCTAGTTGACCAGGCAGAGGCCTAGAGCTTGAGGTTGGCCATTGCCCCAAAATAACTCCCTAGAGAGGAACAGGGCACAGTTGGACTTGGGAGATCTTTGCCAGAGAATGCCTTCATTTCTCTTCTAGAGCAATCCGATTGTAATGATTAGCACATTACCTTTATCTTTAGATAAATTTACTCCAGGGTTCCTTAATGGCAGTTTTATTAGTATCACAGGATTTACCAACCACTGGGACAACACACTGCTTGTGCAGCAATTATTTTGAGGTAGAGGTATATATGGGACAGGCACATAATCCTATTTATTAAAGTGACTATCCTAAAGATTATATTCTCCAGCCATTACTCAACAGTAGTAAACAAACGAGTTACAGCTCTATTTAACTCCTTATGATGTGAAACTTGAAATTAGGAAGTAGGTTTTTAAAGCACCTAGCCTATGCCTCCTTGCCCCTCAGCCAGCTCATCTGACCTCAAACCTAACCCAGGAGGCAAGGATTCCAGTCAGGTATGGCTACGCTACCACCAGGGCTGCTAAGGTAATTCCAATCCATTCTAATCCCGGACCGTTCAGATCCAACGGGAGAATTGTGTTTCCTCTGAGTTGGGACAAGCAAAGATCTAAGGAAACTAGCACCTGTTCTACAGGTGCTGCATTGAGGTGTAGGGCGGCGGAAGGGAGCCATTCATAGCTCTTATAGTGGAGATCCCAACACTGAGAAGCTAGCTTCCGCTATGGCACCGCGCTGAGGGGACGGCTCGGCTACGCGTCTCCCTAAGCCTGTTAGTTCTTCAGTTAGAAATGTCTGGGGTGTAGACACACTTTCGCCTATACACAATTCAATTCTAAATTAAGCAAGCCCCTGAACCTTATCCCGAAGGAGTGAGTGCTGAACCTTTGTTCTCTGGAGCCAGCCAGGTCCCCAGCACCGCGAAAATACCCCCACCCCCCGACGTGGAAGGACGAGCACCCAGGAGACTCGCGACGTGCTACCGTCTCTCTTCCCTCCCCCCACCTTGCAATTCTTGGCTGCCGGGCCGTCAGATTCCCTCTCGCCTTACCCAGAGCTACCGGAGACGCCAGTGCCACCTTCCCGGGTCCCAACCTCTACCCCGCGCCGTCCGCAGCGATCACTTACGTGGGCAAGGCCCGCAAGGCGCGCGGCAGACCCGGGGCTCGGGCAGCTTCCGAGCAGCTGGCTGGGCACACAGGACGGCACTCCATACCCCAAAACAGGCTCTACGAAGGAGCAATTAAAACCACAAGTGCAACAGAGAAATCGAGGCGAGCCTAACGTCTTCCAGGAGTTGTCTAGTAGCAGAGTCAATTACCTGGTTGTTGTTACAAAGCTTCACCGTGCGGTTCGGTGATTAAGAAAAAAAAAATCTTTTAACCATTAGCAAACCCGTTATTGGTTTGAAAGGTCGGGTTGTTGGGGGTGTTGTTGCTTTTTTGTTTTTCTCTTTTGCTCCAACTAGGCTGCCTGAAATATTTCTGCTCCCAGCAATCGCGCCCTTAAAACCAAAAGAGAGAAATTCCGCCGAGCAGGCGCTGCTGCTACAGAAGTTTAAAAAGAAAGAACCCCCTCTAATATCTGTAACGACAGCACCGATGTAATTTGTTTTGAATGTTCATTTTTATTGGTGTTCCTTCTGCCAAAACGTGCTTGATTACAGAGGTTTGTCCTGTGATCATTGCGCACTCCAGACAGGGGAAGGTGCAGCGCGAAGGTTCAGCTCAGGCCAGATCAAATCCCGGGCTGTTTAACGCTGAAAGGCTGCATGTTGCTATTAGTGTTAAATATATGGCTAATTATGCGTATGAAAATTAAACATCAGTGTTATGCTAATGGGGCGCCTTCAGCTGCGGATCTGAGCACTTGAGACTACCATTTAATCAAATGAATCAGTAACTAATACATCTGCACGTGTGAACTTTCACAAGATCATTTCCCCGTTCCCGTCACACCGCTAAATTATGAAAGAAATAATTATCAACACTTTCTAATTACCTAACAAAGTAATTTGGGATTCACCGTGGAGCTGGCGGGATGGGGAACCAACAGCCCCTAGCAACCAGCATAGAGAGCGCCACGCCGCGTGGGGGTCGCTGTGTGGTAGCAGTGGCAGGGCGGGGGCCATTTGTGAGCTTTTCTGTACCTAGCACCCCAGAAGATAGAAGGCGCCGCAACAGCTCTGTCCTACACCAGCCCTGCCCCCAGGCCTGGCGGAGCCAGTTTTGGCCACTGGAGGTGAGGAAGAAACTGTGTCGCAGAGACCAGTCTATACAGCGGTATTCTTGCCTACCACGGACCTGGTGCTGCTGCAGGTTTCGGTGTCCCCCAAGGGCTCCTAAACCCTGGGACGTCCCGCCAGACCCCAGGAGGGCCGGAAATGACCACCTGGCACTGCCGCTCCGGTAGCCCTGGGCCCGCCGTACCCTGGACTCCAAGCTGCGCCGCGCCCTCGGGGCCAGTGCTCCCGGGCGCGCAGCTCGAAAGGAGTGGAGAGGGGAGGGGGAGCGCAGGAAGGTTGGGAGGGAAAGAGGGTGTGTGTGTGTGTGTGTGTGTGTGCGCGCGCGTGTGTGTTGGGGGAGGGAGGCGGTGCGGCCGCCTTTCCTGGGAGGAGAAGCGCGGGTTCCTGGCTCTCCACGCGCACTGTTTTAATCAGACCCGTGCAGCCTCGAGCTGGAGTGGCCAACCCGGCCTAGAGCGATGCAAGCGGGGCCCTGACCGAAACCCCGGCCCCAGGGATGTGGCACCTCGGACCCAGGCCGGGGTAGGGACTGCCAGGAGGGTGCTGGACTAGGCGCGGGACATTCAGGAGGCCCACTGTCTGCGGGCTGCCTCCCCTCACCCCCCGCGAGCGCGACTCCACGATCCAGAGGCAGCCAACATAACCACCCTAGCTCAGCATCGGCCTGGGTGGAGGCGACCAGAAACAGTTCCCTGGCCCCCGGCGTTGGGGGCGGGTGAAGGGTGGGGACGGTAGAGGGGGGCAAGGTCGGGGAGCATTGGTTGGTTTCTGGGGGGAGAGCGCGCCAGGGAGGCGGGAGGCTGAAGAGCAGGCCTCAAAGGTCCCAGCGCGGATGCCGCAGCCCATTGTGCTTCCTGCACCTCACGCTCTGTTGCAGAGGAGCCCCGGCCGGGAAGTCCCGACGCGTCTCTCCCAAGGCCGGGCCGCCTCGTCCGCTCTAGTCCAGCGGAGCCGAAGCGTCTCGGACCAATCCCCGGTGATTATGCAAGACGGCGGACCAATCAGCTCCGCCATCTCATGAATATTTATGACCTTGGCTGAGTCAAAGCTTTGAACCGAGTTTGGGGAGCTCGGAGCATCATGCTTAGACTTTTCAAAGAGACAAACTCCATTTTCTTATGAATGGAAAGTGAAAACCCCTGTTCCGCTTAAATTGGTTTCCTTCCTGTCCTGAGAAACATAGAGACCCCCAAAAGGAAGGCAGAGGAGAGAAAGACCCACACCCAGACCCCGCGAGAAGAGATGACCATGACCACCATGCCAGAAAGTCTCAACAGCCCCGTGTCGGGCAAGGCGGTGTTTATGGAGTTTGGGCCGCCCAACCAGCAAATGTCTCCTTCTCCCATGTCCCACGGGCACTACTCCATGCACTGTTTACACTCGGCGGGCCACACGCAGCCCGACGGTGCCTACAGCTCGGCCTCGTCCTTCTCCCGACCACTGGGCTACCCCTACGTCAACTCGGTCAGCAGCCACGCGTCCAGCCCCTACATCAGTTCGGTGCAGTCCTACCCCGGCAGCGCCAGCCTCGCCCAGAGCCGCCTGGAGGACCCAGGTACGTGCGCTTGCCAGGGAGAGGAAGAGAAGGAAAGAAGGCGCAAGGGAGAGCAGGAGGGGGAGAGAGGGAAGACCGAGGCGAAGAGGGGCAGAAAGAGGTGGAGTGGGGGTGGGGAGGGCGCGGGAGCAGTGGAGGTTTCGGATATCAACCTATGGATACCTGTCCTAGCAAAGACAGATTTTTTTAGAAATCCACCCAATTCGCAACTATCTAGCCAAGGATAAATCCGAGAGAGCGTCTCCTGGCACTGGCTGGGCCTCTGAGCGGCTTGGTGTGCCGAGCACACAATGCCCTGCTGGAAAAAAGAAACCCACATGTGCACGTATTAGTCTCGGTAATTATTTATTGCGTAGCGCTATAAACAATGTATGCAATTAAGGGTAATTAAACCTCAACTACCGCCTGCAAAAATAGCAACTTTCCCTGCAAAGGCAATAGCTGCGCTCCCGGAACGGCCCTACCCAGACTGCAGCAGCCCGGATGGGCCCTCGGACTTTCAGGTGGTCCTCGCAGGCATCCAGAGTTTCTGGGATGCTCTCTCCCCGCCCTGTCTGCCATCCTCTTCATCGCCGCTGGCTCTGTCTCTCGCACTAAAGGCATCCATCCCCCTTACTAACAGCTGCCCCTCTTCTGCTGTCCCTGCAGGGGCGGATTCCGAGAAGAGCACCGTGGTGGAAGGCGGTGAAGTGCGCTTCAATGGCAAAGGGAAAAAGATTCGCAAACCCAGGACAATTTATTCCAGTTTGCAGTTGCAGGCTTTGAACCGAAGATTCCAGCAAACTCAGTACTTGGCTCTGCCCGAGAGGGCGGAGCTCGCGGCCTCCTTGGGACTCACGCAGACTCAGGTACCTCGCCTCCTCCTCTGCGCCAAGCAGGCTTCCTGCGGCCCGGCCTGAGCCTTGGGCTTCATTTCTTGCTCGCTGGGCCTCAGGGTCGGGGTGTCATTGTGTGAGTGTTGGGATATGTGTGTGTGTCCACCCCAGGCTCCCAGCGCCTGCCCTTCTTCTAGAGTTCTCTCTGCCCTAGCTCTGTCGCTGTTCTTGAAACCCCCAACCTGCCTGCCCCTCCGTCCTGTCCCTGGATAAACTGATTAGGGGGCAGGAAGGATTTCCCCAGATGTTTTGTTTGGAGATTCGGAGGTCACACGTGCCGAACAACTGAACAATAGCAATAGACTCGGGAAGTAATCCCTCCTTTGCCTTTAAAGTGTGTGGCTACTCACTGGGGGCCTGGGCCCGAGCCTCTGTCTCTCTCCTCTTCTTTCTCACCGAGTGGCACAGGGCATCCTTTTTCAGCCTTCTCACCTCCCAAGGCCCAGACCCTAGAGAAGAAACAGAGACTCTCCTTCCTGGATCTCTCAGACTCCGGGGAGTTCACGGGCCTTCGGACCACGGCTGGTGCGGGTTTCCAACGTCTGGCCCGGGATTTAGATTGAACCTGGGGAAGCAAACAGACCCTAGGGAAAGGTTTGGTTTGAGTCCAATGGAAAGTCCAACAAAAACTTGCTGCCTCCTCAGTCCTCAGCTCACTCAGGGACAGAAAGGATGGCATGGCACAAAGAGAAAGCGGTAGAGTTGTAAATAAATTTCCTCCACTCCTATCCAGGTTTTTGATTCTTTTATTGACACTGATATAGGAATTACGTGGAGGTGAGCCGGCGCTCGACTCCCGCGGACGGTGGTCAGGGTCGCACTGAGCTAGCAGGCCAAGCCGGGGATCCCCCTCGGTCCCTTACCACCACGCCCTCTGGCTCTGGGAGCGTTGTCCCTGTGGGTGGCAGTGGCAGGCGGTCCAGCTTCCCGTCTCTTCTGCCTCTTCTGCCGAGCGGGTGGGTGCTCTGCTGCTCCGGCAGGGAGCTGCCAGCTTGCGCTGGGCAGGGCCTCCTCTCTCTGCTCCCCAGCCATTCCGTCCTTTTCTCCCCCAGACCTAGTGGGCTCAGTGGGCTTAGCCTGAATCACGTTGTTTCCCGATCTTGCAGGTCAAGATCTGGTTCCAGAACAAGCGCTCCAAGTTCAAGAAGCTGATGAAGCAGGGTGGAGCGGCTCTGGAGGGCAGCGCGCTGGCCAATGGCAGGGCCCTGTCTGCCGGCTCCCCACCTGTGCCGCCTGGCTGGAACCCTAACTCTTCAACCGGGAAAGGCTCAGGCAGCAGTGCGGGCTCCTACATCCCCAGCTACACGTCGTGGTATCCTTCAGCGCACCAAGAAACCATGCAGCAGCCCCAACTCATGTGAAGCTGCCCGCTTGCACCTGCCTGCCTCCTTCCCATCTCCCTCCATCCGGGCCCCTCCTGTCTCCAGGTCCAGACACCCGACTGCATGCCCTGGGCCCGGTGGGAAAGGGCCCAGAAGGAAGGAAGGGACAGCGAAAGGGCAGGTCGCCCGCCTCCTCGGAACCCCTCGAGTTCCGACCCAGCGACTCCCCAGAGCTCATGCTCTTGCCCGAACCCTGGCCTGGGCCACGCGGTGACAGCAGAGGGACTTGAGGTACAGGCATTGTCACCCAAGACAGCTGGAGCAGCAAGACTAACCGGCTCACCAGACCTGCCCCCCACCCCCCAGCTTTGTGGGACTATCAGGAAAACGGAACAATGTAGAAAAAGCAAAAGCTCTTTTCTGTCCTGTCTCGTCTCCTTTCGTGCTAAGTCAAGGTCTTCGTCTGTCTGCTGTTCTCATACTGAGGCCTCTGCGAAAAGTCACCAGGTCTGAGCCACAAGCGGTCCATGGGGCCGCCCATCTCCCAATCCTGGACATTTTATCCTTTCAGGCCTCCTGGACCCTGCCTCACCATCTGTGTAGTTTGTTTGGGAACTGGGGAAGTTGGAGGGAGGGGGTTTTATTTATTGAAAAATGGACTTTGGCGGAGGCTGAGTGTTGGTTCTGTGGTGTGCAGACAGCTCACCATCCAAACACACTGCTTACCTTAAAGGCACCCGGAATGAACGAACGAACAAGGAGGACACGATGGTTTTTAACTCACACAGTAACTTTTGTACTTCACTAGTATGGAGTTGTTGAAGCCGAATGATTCGCATTTTTTACATGTTCCGTATTATAAAAAAAATAATAAGAGAAAGAGATAGTGAAGCCAGCATGGTTCTGTCATCTTGAGAGGAACACTTGGTTGCTTTGCCTGGACAAGAAGGAAGAAAATTCTAGTTTGGGAAAAAAGAGAGGATCCATGGGCAACAGAGGAAAAACAGGCAGGGCCCTAAGTCTAGTGGGCTTTAAAGTAAGACAAAAGCAGCTTTACAACAATCCTGGAGATTCTACCACAGAAAAATACCAGTCCACCCCTAACACACAGTCTCCATTGCAGGAGCTATTGGCTGTATATATAATTATTATTGTTATTATTATTGTTCTGTAAACATGTTGCACAAGCTTAGCCTTTTTCCGTTCTGTTGTGTGTGGCAGTAAAACCCGATGCTTTGTGAAATAAGAATCTTGACATTTTACTTGTGAGATTTGGAAAATGTGACCAATTGAAATCAACCGTGTTTTGTGTTCTCTATGTCAAAGTTTAGTTTTATATTGAGAATGTTAACTTATTGCTTTGTATCTTGGAGAAAAAAGAACTTTGTAAATAAGTTATAAAGTTTCTTTGAGACAGTAAAATTATGGTTTCAAGAAAAGAATTGCTGTGTGTGTGTGTGTGTGTGTGTGTGTGTGTGTGTGTGTGTGTGTGTGTGTAGCAGGCCAGGCTCCTACCTCTGGTACAGGTAGCCCTTGGGTGGCTACTGATCTGGAATAGATCAGGGTGCCCAATTATACCATCAGTACACCATCACAAGACTTGTGGGGTACCCCAGTGGGACCTGTCACCTTGTTCTCTCAGCAAGATGTCTGATCTCTCTCTGCCTGAGTTGATGGAACGGGGAGTCAGTGTCCAGGGAGAGTTAGGGAAGGGGGCTCAGGAACAGGTGTTCCAGGGCAGCACCTAGGCTTAGGAATGGAAAGGAAAGTGATGATCCGCTGAGAGAGGAAAGCAAGAGTTCAAAGGGCGACTAGAGTTCTCTCCACACCCAGCACCTCTCAGGAAGCCTAGAATGGAGACACCCTGCTTGGCCCTTAGCCTCCCTCCAGATCTGGCCTCCCAGTTTTTGCTTGCCCCGAGGCACTGGATTCCGTCTGCGGAAAAGACTCAGCCAGACGCTTAGCAGAGGCCGGAAGGACATGTCTATCAGTCCATCCCCAATCAGTGAGCTCCAGGGACAGGGCACAGTCCCAGGGAGCTACCCTAGGCGCCCACCAGCAAAAAGAAAAAAAAAAAAAAAGGCTCCTTCCTGCTCCCAATCAGGGGCCTTTCTCCGCACATCCAAGAAAGAGGGGTGCCAAGGGAGTGGCAGAGGGCTTGCTTGACTTGATAGAATGGAGAGCCAGAGTAAAGCGCATCTATTCCACTCCAGCCTTACTGCACCGAAGCAAGACCACTTTAGGGGCACCTCGGTTATTGCGCTGGGATGCATTTCCTTCCAGAAAAGCGCGGGCTCTGAGTCTACAGCCACACCAACTCCTTTTTTCAGCAAGTGACCTGCGCCCCAGCCTAACCCCAACCCCAACCCCAAACCAACCCCAGACCCCAGACCCAGAGCCAAGACAGCTACAGAAAGCTGCGGGCCGTGAGCAAAAATGCAGCTTCGTGCAATTCCTGCTTCCCTTGAACCTCCTTCCGATGCTGCTGGGCGGAGGCTGGCCCTCTGCCTTTGGGGGGCCCTTTCCGGCGCGCGGTGGGGAGCACAGCCGGGAAGGCAGTGATCTGTGTTGTGACAAGCACCCATTTTTCAATTGGTGCTGGTGAAAGATCAGATGCGCCCGGGCTCTTCCGACGCCCTTTGGGAAGGGGAGGAGGAAGTGGTGGGCTGTGTGTGTGTGTGTGTGTGTGTGTGTGTGTGTGTGTGTGTGCGCGCGCGCGCGCGTGTATGTGTGTGTATATGTGAGCGCGCGAGCGACTGAGGGGGTGCAGTCCAAAGGAAGAAACGGGGGAGGTGGTACAGGATGAAGCCAGGGACCTCAGTGTCCCTTTTGGACTTGGAGTTGGGAGTTTTTCTTCTCCTGGGGCCTAAAGAACCAGCAGTGCTAAAGGAGATCAAACCTTGGAGACCAGAAAGCAACGGATCCACAGCCTCAGAACAGAGAGGGAATCAATTTCTGAGGTTAGGCTCAGGAGCGAGAACCAGAGGAATTCTTGGATTCGGTTTCCCCTGGGATATCTGATTTTGTTAAGGAGATTTCTCTCACCATCTTGCTTTGGTCCCCCAGAGGATTGCTAGGGCCCAATGGCTCAAGCCACAGGCAAAATTTATCTGGTCAAGCCGATGTTAATACTTTGAGATATTAGCTTATACTAATTTAATAATCTCTTGCTAACAGTTCAAATAGAGAAATTATTAGTTTTAGTTCAAGGAAGGCGGTCTTTAGTTAGGCTCTATTATAATTATAAGCAGTTGTACTTTTTAAAAATGTTAATCTCAATATAGACCTAATTAATGCTGCCTTGTTACTGACAAGTAGTTCATCAAATATCTGATTCAAAGATTTCATAATGAGTATATTAATTAAACTATGAATAATCTAAAGGTGGTTATATTTAAACAATACCTCATTATAATGATTAAATACTGATTTCGAATATTATGTCTTAACAATTGTCACTTAGAAAACACAACCTTTCCTTATGTATGAGTCTGTAATGGCAAAATGCAATTTTGGGATTTTTTTTCCCCTTGTTCAAAAAATGTGAACCTCATTTTAAAACACTTCTGAAATAGGTTACACACAGCTTAATGATTATCAAAATGACTCTTTTCTGCAAAAAAAAGACCCCAAAGTGCGTGTACAGCTGCAAACCCAAGAGGGTCAGCATCATTTCACTGTATTCTCTTCTTGATTACAAGCCGGGCCCATCAAACACAACATAATTACAGTAATTTCAGGTTTATTTATTCTAATGCAGTTTCCCCATCTCTCTGGTAATTATGAGCAATTTTTTCGCCCAGGGAATCTTTTTGCATTAACAAAAGAGATAACGCACTGAAAGCCAAATTTGCTGTGCATTGAGAAAAGGAAAAAAAAAATCAAATAGGTGCGAGCTGCCATCTCTGCAATTCTCCGGTACCGGAGCCGGCAAATTGCTTGCAGGTGTATGGAGCAAGCTTGTCAATGGCCGGGCCTCCAAATTAGCAAATGCACAGCGGCAAAGTAATGAAGACAGACTTAGCAAAATTGCCAAACAACAGATACCTCTTTAATATCTTCTCTCACACACACTAGCTCTAAAAAGGGGTAGGGGCTGAGGTGGGGGTGGGGGCAGGAGCAGCGCTTCCCAGCCCCCTCCTCCTGGGTCCTGGCTTTCACAAGCCTGGATGGGCTGCACAGCCCTGTGAGCGGGGAAGTCTAAGTGGAAGAACCCAGGTCTTAAATCTAGGCAATATTTTAAAAATATAAAAGTGGCAACATTTATAGTTCATATCTTTCCCTCATAGATCATTATATTTTATTTCTATTTCTGTCTCCTGAGAACATGCACCTGGGCTGGGTTAGATAGTTCTTCAGATTTTTTGAGCCACAAAAAGTTTTAAAATCCACCCCACCTAGATGCACAAAAGCGTGATTTTATTCATATAAAGTCATTCAATGAAGAAATTAAATCTCTCTTTGAAAAGACTGTCCATTTCTATTAGCCAAGGAAAGGTAAGTCTGGGTGCTGGATGCAGAACCTAAGATGCTAGATCAAGAAACACTGGAAGGAAAGAAGCGACATCCCGTAAATGTTTAACCTGGTATCTGTCTCTTTCTTTCTGTATCTTTTATCGATCAATTTCAGAATTGTCTGGTTTTTGTCATCCCACCACCTGGGTCTAGCACTCTTGAAATCTTAGGCTAAAGCAAACTTTTCTGCTCTTCATCCCACAGGGCCATGGCGACCTCTATCAAACACAGTCCAGGGGGTAAGGATTTGTCTCTCCCATGCCTCAAAATAATCCTCCCGTCCCCAGCTCCACAGAAACCCCCAATCCCAGTGCAGACAGGCAGACCGCTCTAGAAGGTGCCTTCCCCAGGCTGAAGAAACAGATCACCCCCACCCACCGTTTCCCTACCCCTCCCTTATCCCCCAATCTTCAGGGATTAACACTTCCTGAAACATCAAGTGTTTTTATAAAAAAGAAAAAAATAATCCTGACACCGCTGACAAGAAGTTTTGATGGAAGAATTAGCTGGTGCATACATAATCACTCCTCCACCCTCCTACTCCCGGAGCGGGAGCCGCTGTGGCGGGCACAGCGCAGCCTTCCAACCCTCTGAAAAATGAAACCGGTTTCCACCCTTACCTTCTTCAGTGTCAATTTCAGATAATCTGGACACACACTCTTTGCTACATCAAATCAAAAGGGTCGAAGGCGGCTTTTGGCTGGGAGAATGACGGGAAAGAAAAGGCAAAAAAGAAAAAAAAAGAGGAAAAAAGGAAAACATAAAATTGACCAAACCAGAGCAAAACAAAACTAGAAAACCAAAAAGAATTCCCCAGCCCCGTCCTCCTATCCTGAAAGTAGAGTGGAAAGAGGTCCCCAGGACCAGGCGTCTCCGAGTGCCGCAGGCTTTTTGCAGCTCTGCGCTTGCAAATAGGACTGAAATTTTCGGCTATATAGCCTCTGTCTTTATAGCTGATGAAAAAAATTGCAGATTATTAGCATAAATGTTTACTCTTCATTACGCTGATGACATTGTGCACTCGAGATCTTGGTAATCTTTGGGAAAATTATGAGTAATTTTTAAAAATTTTAAAGCAGCAGCAGTTACCATGCAATTCAGGCTAATTCTGCGTAGGCTCCGAACGGATATAATTATCGAGGAGTCAAGATGTTATGCTAAAAACTATGCATTGATATTCCCATTTATTATGTACATACAACTTTGACAATGTTGATGCTTGAAATAGCAGGAAATTGTCTTGCGCAAAAATTACAGTCCATATTAGGACATCTGAAATTGCGAAGAATTATATAGTAATTGCAGGCTTTCAGATGGGAGAGCCAGAATGCTCAAACTAGTGCAAATGTGGATAAAATTACAGATCAGAGCAAAAATTAGGGAAAAAGGGGGTCTGGGATTTTTCAGGTTGGCTATAGGATTCCGGAAGTGTCTAATGCTACATGATTGCTGCAGCTTTAGGGGAGACATTCATGCCTCAAACAGCGCCTTGGCCAGGGTGGCTTTAATTGAGTTTCTTGGGCTTTTTGTTTTAATAGGGGTAAATGAGGAAATTGGCCACCCAAGGCAAATTTTTACTGTCCTCTCCATGAAAACGTGGGAAGAATCCCCTTCTCTTAGTGCCTGTTCTCCCACGCTTGGACACCCGGAGGTCCCAGGCCCCCTACCCCAAATGCTGCAGCCCAGAAAGTGACTAAACAGGATCCCCCTCTTGCCCCTTCCTCCTTTATTTTTCCTTCTAGTTCTCCTTGGGCCCCTTTCCCGGATTCTCCCAAACCTGCACAGTAAGGAGGGATGGGCCGAACTGTTGGGCCCAGGCTGCCTGTGGCGTTGGTGCCAGGCGGGTGATCGCCTCAGGAGAGTGCCAATGGCTGCCCAGAGGGCCCAGTAAGACCCTGCGA